CTGGCTTAGTGATTCGGCAATCATAATGGCAACGGGATAGGAGGAGATAGCAGATGTGGCAATCGTTCCTCTACTGTTGTTTTAGTTTAAAACGCTTACCGTACTTAACTGATGCTGGCATGGTCTAGTCCAATAAAATGTTCCAATAGAATGTGTGGTTCTTTTTAACTTTTTCTTGTGATAGAATAGTATTGATCACGGATTGAGATACCGTGGTTATTCTGTAGACTTTCTCTTTACTACTTGCAATCCCTCCGTATTGTCAATATCACAGACATTGTCATCATCATACAGCGTTGTCATGATCATTATTATTACTGCCAGTTGTCATCGCCATCATCATAGTCGTCTTCATAATCATAATCAACCATCATTATCATAGTTCAGTATAGGCCTATATTTTATTCGTATTAAGGCTCATGTTATAAGTATCGCTAAGACGATCAGCATCATTATGTTGATAAAGATGGTAATGATGATGACGACAACGACCATGGTAATAATACACAATTTCTGCCAACTAACGTATTTAATTTGCAATTACAATTATTGATAAATGCGAGTTATTTACAGATTATTTTAAATAATCTGCAAATAACTCGCATTTATCAATAATGTAGCTAATATAAAAACTGTAGCTAATAGCTACAGTTTTTGATTAATTGAATAAAAACAAATAACCATTAAAGATATAATCATTGCGTTTAATAAACTTTATTGTAGATTATCCTCATGAAAACAAGTTACGAGAATGGGTTGCTTGAGATTGAAACCTTACCATAGTGTCAATTAAACTAATTGACCAATCAGAACAGGGCCAGGAGTACGCGCTTGATCCACAGAAACCGAGTTGTCCCACAAAAGCACGTTTTTTTTTTTACATAGGTACCAAAGATCTTATAAACACAAGATAGCGTTCTCCGCGATTTACGCGTGACAATAGAAGCGTCGGTCAAGGTTCAAAAGTTTCCAATTTAGCAAGAGGGCGCCATTCATGCGTTATTACCAGGGTTATTACCAAAAGAGAAAAAGTAATCAGTTTTGGAAGAGGGCGTCCTATCTGTTGCCATGGATCTGAGATGGTTCCTGTTCTGCTGTTCATCACAGGATTGATACCCTAAAGGTAAAGTCGCGCGGTGTACGGTATGGTCAGAGCGGTCAAGGGTCAAAAGTTTCCAATTTAGCAAGAGGGCGCCATTCATGCCTTATTACAGAATTTGCACGCGTAAATCGGGGAGAACGCTATCTTGTGTTTATAAGATCTTTGATAGGTACGCTGTCGTTTTGTAGCACCTTTGGAAGGTCAATACGATAAAATGCACTTTAGCAACTACTTAACAACTGCGTTCATGTAGCGTATGGGTAGATAAATGAAAGATATAACTAAAACTTTTTTTTTTGTTTACATTTTTAATTACACATTATTAGATTAGATTTGTAAACAATAATATTTTCAATAAAAAAATAAAATTTAATATAATAAAAATTGCAACAATTGTCTCTAATTTGCATGCACACCACACACTGCTATTTCCATTAAAAATTAAAGATTATATAGGATATTATGCAAGCGTTCATAAAAGCAACTAAAACAAAATGCTATCCAATGAAGGGATCATGATTAACATACAGATGACGTCTTCTGATTGTAAACGATTTGTTCAGCATCGTTTTATGAAACCAATCGCATAGCATGGGGTTGTGTGCATTTCCAAGAAAACGTGCGTTGACTGCCGAGCACGCGGCTTCGAGTTGTACGAAGGTAGCGCGTGCACTGTTCTCGCTGACGACATAGAGGCTCTCAATGCGACCAAACTCTCGCAGAATATCGAATATTTGCCTTATATGATATCCACCATTCTGTCGTGATATATGCCATCTAAATAAATGAAAATAATGTCTTCGTTGACGTAATGGTTGGCTTATCTGAAGCTAATTTCTAAAAACTATTGTCAGTGGCAGTCTGAACCAACAATACCAGAAACATAAGATGGAACTCACGCAGCGAAGCGGAAGTTTTGTGATGTTTGTACTGTTGACCATATTCTTTTTATTTCATTTTTTATTTTTATGATAATTGTCTTAAACATGACCATTTTCAAAAACAGACTGTTACAT